GGTGCTAGGCGAGTGGTCCCTGGAGAGGACATGGAAGCTCTACAGTTCCTCTCACAAACCTGACCCTACAGGTCTCTTCCATCTGGATATTCATCTGTATCATTTATCATAGCCTTTTATAATAAACAGGTAAAAATAAGTGAAATATTTCTCTCTAGTTCTGTGAGTCACTCTAGAGAATTAATTGAGCCCAGGATTTTGTTTTGTTTTATCTTGTTTTGGGAATCTTCTATCTACAGTCTTTTGTTCAGAAGCACAGTTGATCACTTGCGCTTGTGACTGGCATGCCTTTTTCAGGTTGAAAGTGTCAGAACTGACTAGAATGATAGGATACTCAGGTAGGATTGCAGAAAATTGCTTAGTATAGGAAAAAACACATTTGTTCACCAGAAATGTTTTGTACGAGTAGTAAAACAGACTCTTAGGAAAGAAGGACATAATAGGGCAGAACTGGGTTTTCCCTACACAAGAAGGAAAAAAATCTGGTTTTTCCCCTCACACACAACTTTTTTCACAATAGCACAAAACTGTAATCAATCCAGACAACCCAAATATCTACTTCTGGGAGGATGGATAATTAAACTGTTAGATATTCATATAGAGGAATTCTACGCATCGGTTAAAAAAAGAATAAACAAGACATACACAAAGTGACACCAATGAATTGCAAAGATATTTTGAGTGAAGAAAGCCAGAGATACTATACACTATGCATGTAGATATAAACAAGTGTAAATTTCATTGAGTTCTAAGCTTCTGTTTTGTACACTTTATTATATGTGTTGTACCTCAATTATAGAGAAAGAGAGAAGAGAAAGCCAAGAAGCATTTTGAATATGGAGATAAATGTCAGTGTCATCACCTGAGAATAAAAAGTGGTTCCTCTGGGGAGGCAAAAATAGACTATGTGGAAGAATGGGAAGAAAAAGAGAGTGCTATTTGATTTTGTAAATAAATGAGAGTATTATTTTGATTTTAAAAAAATGTAATTTTATTTTTAAAAAGGATGAAAAAGTGAGAATCTCAGATGAGATGAGGTTGAGAAATAATCATTGGCTTTATCACCACCAAAGCCACTGGTTTAAGTGAGAGCTTCTCACGGAGTAACACTCACAGAAGTCAGGTTTTAGGAGGGGACAGTAAGTCTAGACAGTCAATTAATTTGATTATTAAGGAGAAGAGAAATGTAGTAATAGGGCTGATAGAGATACGACCTTCAAGAGTATATTAAAATGGGAAACATTCTCTTACAATGTGTGGCCAGATTATTATAAGAGAATGTCAAAAAATTTATTTCAGGGAAGGTACATTCCTGTGGGGTCTTTTCAAGGGGCCCAAGACTGGAAACCAAGACTCCGTACCACCACTATCCCTTTTGAATCTACACGGGCGAAGCTCTGGGCTGTTTAAAAGAGCAGCCTGATCCATGGACACACGGTGGGGGACTGTCCAGGATCCTGGACAGAATGCCCAGTAATCTCTGCTGTCTGGCTGCATCACAAGAGTTCGTTCTCCATAGGACCACTTGGGAAGAGGCTCTGGGTGCTCAGGAGGCAGGAAAACAGCAAAGACGCCCTTATTCTAGAGCCGCAGCCTCAGGGTTTGGGTACAGCCTGCAGGTGCCTGGGGAGCATTGTGTCTGCACAGAGCAGAAGTAAGTGGCTGAGTCTTCAGGTTTGGGGGCTTCGATGTGCAGAGAACTTCCCTTCTTTAACAAGGTGGCTCTCAGTCTTTCTTTCTGCTTTTCATCCCCAACCGAGTAAAGAAGGAAGAGGAGTTCAGGGCCCTTCCCGGAATCTTGTCTATACCACTGTAACGCTCTGAAACCGCTGACGGTGTGGCTGCAGTTGAGGCTGAGACTGCCCCCCTCCTGGGTTCTCAGGGTCTGAGGACTCTGCTCCACTCGGTCTTCTCCACGCAGCCCTGTTCAGGAGAACAAAGTCAGAAACAACACAAAGCTTTCAGTTCAGCAGT